CTCCCAACCACCAGATCCTCCAAAGGGCACACCTGGGGCTGGCGTGGCAGGGCAGAGCGGACAGGGCAGGAGGCTGCTCGCGGGTAGACAGTCATTACAGAGCTGACCCCGGGGCAGGTATCATGTTACTACCCCAAATCTGCAGACATGGGCATGATTACCCCCAGTTTTCAGGGAGCAAATGGAGGTTCAAAGAGAGAAGATGATTTTCCTGAGGTTGAACCATCAGCACGAGGCAGAGCCAGGATGCGAACACAAAACTTCTGGAAACAGGTCCCGGGCTGTGTTCTACTCCACGCCTCTCACAGACAACGCATTTTTCCTGATTTCTTAAAACTGAGCCAATGCAGAGTCACGAGGGATAGAAACTGCTTTCTCTTTTTAGCTTATGGGGAACACAGGCATTCCCTACGAAGAGAGATACTCACATTCAGGCATCCCCTATCACGCGTTTAAGCCGCAGAGAACACGCGCGTGGCTGTTTCTGTGGAGTGGATCCCTATGCGGGCAGCGCTGACTCCACGCTCTTCTGCTAAACACTGCACCCCGCGGGCAGTCAGGGCTCCTTCCTCAGGACAGCCGCTCCCCCAAGTGCTTGCTAGGAGCCAAGAGCTAGGAAGGGTCAGGGACGGGAGCCAACGGATTTGAGACCCTGTGGTTGCCGGAGGCTATACTGGGCTCTCATGTATATGACCTCAGTTAGTGCTCACAGCAACCTCAGCAGGGGGGTGTCAACCCATTTTACAAGGGAAGAAGCCTACCCATAGGGGAGGTAAGTCCCTGGCCAAAGTTCCACCAGCCATAAACAAGAATGGAACTGGGGTGGCCCCAGGACAGCTGACAGAAGCTTGGGAAGTGTTCGATCTCATATTTTCTGTTAAGTTGTTACTTAGCTTTGCTTCAGACATTACATAGGAAAACATATTTACATTCACTTGAAATTATTCTTGTGTTATGAACACATCCATCCTTTTAGAAGACTTGATTGTACGCATTCAGGGTATAACCCAGGTGTGTCTTGGGGCAGCCTCAGAGGTGGCCCGAGTCATCCCCACAGCAGAAGCCTGGAGATGTCACATTTCCTAGTGCCTCGCTGCGACCACAAACTTCAGCTGGACTCTTGGTGCTACTGGAAAACCCATCTCTTTCTTGAATCCCCCTCCCCTCCCACTCTCTATGCTCTGCTGGTCTCTGAGTCCCTTGGCTCCTGTCTCCCTCCAGGTAGAACTGGGGCCTCCTATGTCACAGATATAGAGCCCCCTCCACACCCCACTACCTTCCTGCCACTGGACGCACAGGCCGAGCTCACCCGTCTGCCAGTCCTTCCTTCCCCAGGTCCCCACAGGCACAGCAGGCCAGCCGCCACAGAGCTTCGGGGTCCTTCCACAGCTGGCTGACCCTACTTTTGTTCTCTCACATGAAATAGTCAACTTCCCCCAACTGGATCCTCCCTTCAACCTGCAAACACACAGTGTGTGTCTCACCTAAAAAATGAAACAAAATGGGCCGGCCCGGTGGCGCACTGGAGAGTGCGCTGCTTGGGAGTGCGGAAGCGCTCCCGCTGAGGGTTCGGATCCCATGTGGAGACCGGTTCCGCTCACTGGCTGAGCGCGGTGCGGGCGCAACACCGAGGGTTGCGATCCCGTTGCCGGTCCCCGGTACGGGCGCGACAGCGAGGGTTGTGATCCCGTTACCGGTCAGTAAAAAAGACAAAAAGGAAAAAAAAATTAAACAAAATAAAACAGCCCTCCTGCGCCACACAGCTCCTCCACTGTCACCCTGTTGCAGGCAAACACCTGGACAGAGCCGTCTGCAGTGAAGGTCTCATTTCATCCCAACCTGGCTTCTGTTTCTATCGCTCCAGAATGACTCTCGTTGATGTCATCAGAGACCTCTAGGATGCCACGTCCAAAGGACATCTCCAGTGTCACCTGACTTGACTTGCACTCAGCATCCAAAGCTACAGTGCATGACTCGCTCCTGCTTTTCTGGCCCTTCTGTTGAATCTCCAAAGCCACTTTCCAGCCATCCCTAGTGGCCCCATGTCCCTGCCCATTCGTAGAGCACCACGGATCCTGCCAGGCACAGGACCGATCACTACCACAGTCCGTACCGACGTGTGCAGCAGCAAATGCCATTTACTCAGAGGCCTCCTGCGACTACTCTCCACCAGACTGCAGGCTCCATGAGGGACAGGACTGGGGTCTCTTTGATCTCCACGTGTGCCTGGCATCCAGGAGGCACTCAAGTTATCTGTCCTATGGTCAGTGAAATACCGTCCACTCGCAGGGTGACGCAGAGCTCTGGGCCTCCTGCCGTGCGGGCTGCAAGCCCAGACCCCGTAGCTGCCTGGGCCCCTGGACAGCAACTCCTGTGTCCTAGAAGTTCCAGCCTCTCCCACCACCACGCATATCCCTGAAACAACCCCCAGCGCCCGAGGTAGGTGGGGTGGTACCTCTCACGGCTAAGAGTCCAAATGGAGCAGGAACTCCTCGGGGGAAACCACCAGAGCAGCAGCTCTTTGTGGATGCGTTGAAAAGCCCAAAGCAGAAGAAACGAAAACATAAGGCGCCTTCCATAATTTCCCCCAAAGACTTCAAGATCTCTTTCGAAGAGATTAGTTGTGTTCTGGAATTATTTCCAAGAAGCGTGCCAAAAGCAGCAAACTTTCTCTCTCAGCGATAAGGACCAGCACTGGCGACCCCAAACTGTCTTGCTTTACTTATGTGTGAAAGCTTATGAGCTGGTCGTGCCGCATTTTTGACTTTGACAAACCATTTCTTTTTCTTTGCTTTCTAAAAAGTTTCATATATGGAGAAACTTATCTATCTATCTATATAATAAAGTAATTAATTTCCTTTTCGAAAGTACAACTTCCCATGGGCTTCGCAAGACACAAAATGTTACACATGAGATCTACGTTCAAAGGCTAATTTGTGATGTCTACGCTTAACCAGAACCGTGAAGGCAAAAAATTCCAAATCCTTAGATTTTTAACTAGACTGAACTAGACTATTAAATTTAAATCCAATAAATTAAAAGAAAAAAACCCCCACCTAGTACTGTACTTTCCAACTCTAAACTAACTGGGCAGTACCGATTTCTTCACTAACCCTCTGCATGGCAGTGTGGGTTGAAGTGCATAATCTTAATCTGCCTTCCTGACACAGTGATGGCCCAGCTGGCCCACGGGCCAGAGGACATATTCTTATGGACATACGCTTTTACATCCTCCTGTGGCCCCATAGGAGCTCTTTCAGTGTCTCTCACATGTTAGACTTTTAGAGTTTTTGTTAAATGACAAACATTAAAGCAAACAGCACAAGAAAAGCGTCCACATGGAGGACACATTTGATAACCTCCTTTTTCTCACAGCAGAGTGTGGTGGATAGAGCACAGGACTTGGAGTTGGACTAGGACTGGAACACCGCCTCTGCCATTTACCAGTCAACAGTGGAAACTTATTATCTTCTCTGCCCTAGTGTTCTTATTGACAAATTTGGGCTGATGATAGAACTATTGGGAAAAGTCAGTAAAACATAAGTTTAGCATCTGTACTGTGACTGCTACATCACAGTCATTCAATATTGCATTTATTTATTTCCTTTTTGTCTTTTTTCATGACTGGCAACAGATCGCAACCCTCAGTGTCGCGCCCGTACCGGAACGGGGCCGGCAACGGGATCACAACCCTCGGTGTTGCGCCCGCACCGCGCTCAGCCAGCGAGCGGCCGGTCTGCATGTGGGATCTGAACCCTCGGCAGGAGCGCCGCCGCACTCCCAAGCGGCGCACTGTAGCACTGCGCCACCAGGCCGGCCCATCAATATTGCATTTATTAATTGCAATGAATTATTTGGTAAATGTTTACATGTTATAAAAATGAGGGTCAATGTACATTTTCTATAAAAGTTAGAGTCTTCCCATTTTTTTGCTTTTCTATCACTTCAAATGAAGAATAAAGCAACACATTTTGGTAAAGGACACAATAGCATGGACTGCAAAATTCCATGACATTCTTGGAAAAAGAAGTACTATGTGACCTTATCAAATAATGCATTAACTTTCCGTTAGTTCAGAGGGACTTTCTTACAGAAAGAAGCTAGAGAACAGATCCCATGCATTGGAAATTACATCAGAACAGGGCTCCCCAGAAAGGCACGCACAACCTGTGCCTGGGGTAAAGCACCCTCTTCCCTCCTGGACGTAGCTGTCCCTTGTGAGCCCTGCTCCTGCCCGGATGCACTGGGAGGCCACCTGCTGTCTCCTTTGCTGTCTCACCACCTGTGGGTTTTCACTGGCCAGGTTTGCATTTAGGATTAAGAAAAGTGATGAACTACTCTTCTTCCTACTCAAAATCGGTGCAGGTTGATAACTTGTAACAAATGTCTTCTATATCTAAGGAAAATACATTGTCAAAAAGACGAACTAATGTCAATATAAAGAGGAGAAGGCACAATTTTCTCACTTAAGGTTGTATCCTCAGCATGCAATGAGTTCTGTCTTCTCATTTATTTGGTAAATGAGAGAAATGAATGAATGAATGAAGTGAACTAAGATCCCACCTAGTGATATGTTAACAAGGGCAGGTGATTCATCAAGAGGAACTTTTCTGGAAAGGCAGAGATGCCACCACATGACGGTGTCTGGGGATGATGAAGGGAAAAGGGTAATTCACGGGGCCCGGCACAAAGACGCATTAAGCACTGGGGTCTGGACCCCCTTGTTCATTGGAGCTGCCTGCATTATAAACCTAGAATGAAAGATAAGACCTTGACCAGAGCACAGCAGCAGCAGAACGTCCGAGTCTCGCCATGAGGTTCCGATCAGTGCACACAGTTTGCTGACTGGCGCGTACAACAAGAGGCTGTATGTCCTGCTAGGAGCTTGGCAGAGCAGAGCACACTATAAGCCCCACGGCAGAGAGAGATTTTGCTCCATTTACCAACCTGAAGAAAGGTTTAAAAAATAAAACATTTTTGAAAAGGCCAGGTGTCCCTTCCGCTTTGTTGTGTCACATTCACTCACAGTGTGGTTCGTAAGGAGGAGGAGGATCCCCACAAGGCACACACTCCATGTCTTGAAAGCCGACGAGTTTCGTCTTCCTGTAAAACCTAGAAGAAAAATAATCCTTGTTATCTCTCTCCTGAGAGCTCACAGTTGCAGCAAACAAGACTGTGTCACATATTACCAGCAGTCCCCGTGACCACCTCTATGGTTCAAAAAAAGGTCCACAAAGGCTTAAACATAATAGTGTCTTGGTGAATTTGAAGAGGAATTTTTAATTAAACTGAATCCAAATAACACTGGTTAGCCTAATGAACGCTGTTTGAAAGCTGCTAAGGAAACCTGGCTGTAGACCATCAATTCTCCAACCAATGAAGGCATTTCTACAAGGAGATGACATGCCATCGTCTGGCTCTGGTTTTATTCTGAGCTCGCTTACGAAGCTCTGATTTCAGTTACTACGTCCTGTGCGTCACCATCGAGCCACGGTTGACCTTCCTGAGCTGCGCACGTTAGACACCGGCTCACAACTCTGTTCTGTGCTCTTGTGAGCTCCTTGCTTCCTCCTGGATGGTCAGCCGAGTTCAGGTATCTCAGAAATCCACAGCAGTGGCCCCTTATTGGAAGTTGAGCAAATGCTGATGACAAGATAAACCATTAGGATAAGAGCCCAGATCTCACAAACAAAGGTCACAGTTACTGAGAAAGAGGATGAGAAAATTGGCCAAGGCAATGCAGGCAGCTTTCAGGGGCACGGGACTGATGGGGGTTAGGGGTGAGAGTAGAGGGGGCATGGGGCACAGAATGGGCAGAGGAAGTCCTCGTGCTTACTCGCCAGTCTTGGAAACCCCAGGTGAGACCTTCCAGTGAAATTAAGCATGGGGGCTCAGCAGTGGAGCCGCCAGGTTTCCAAACCCAGCCTTCCCATTTACAGGCTGGGTGACCTTGGGCAAATCATTTATCCACTCTAATGGTCAGTTTCCTCCTCTGTAAAGAGGGGATCATATTCATCCCTACTTTACAGAGTGGTTTTGATAATTAAATAAACTAATGTGCATAAAGAGCCTAGCACATAGTAAGTGCTCAATAAATGTCAGCTGTCATTGTTATTAGACGCAGCAAAGAGCTGGCAGGGGCCTGGCTATTCTTTCAGGACTGAGTTCCAGGTCCCCTAAGTAGAGAAGAGGTGGGGACACGGGAGGCCAGAAGAGGAGGAGGGAGGCCCATTGGCCACACTTTGAGAAAACAGTTATGTAAAACCATCACTGGCCCTCAAAACCATCAAGTGGCGATAACGTCCAATGTTTGTTTAGTGCTTACTATGGATTCGGCACTCTGCTAGGCAATTTACATGTATTTTACTTTGAATCCTTCTAATGATTCTGAAGGTTGGTATTACTATGGGATGATAATTTTACAGGCAAGAAGAATGGGTGTCAGAGAAGTTAAGTAACTGGACTAAAGTCATTGAACAGATTCAGGAACAAGGGGACTGGCTCTCATCACTCAAATTGTGGGCACAGAGGACAGACTATTTCTGCTATTCCTGCTATTCCTTCTACTGGGGAGGGATGCGGCTGATGTCCTGTAGGGTCGGGGCTTACAGGAGGGAGGCTGAGGCTGCAGAAGATAGGAATAGCAAAGCCCACCTTATGCCTGACTTCGGCATCACTTTTCTGGAAGAAATATGCATTTTGCTCATTTTCTTTCCACCTCAGTTTTCCTATCTGCAGAAAGGGTTTCAACTATTTGCATTCTTCACAGAAATACAGTCAATCTGGAAGAATACTTATAAAACACTCTGATAAGACCTGGTAAATGTCACTATGTAATTATTGCCTGCCTCATACATTAATGCTGGCTTAGAGAGGATGTAGTTTTCAACCAATCATATAAACTGAAACATCATTCAAATGTTTATTCATTTATAATTTTCCCACATCTAAGCATTTACTTAAAGAATGAACAAACACTGTAGAAACGAAAGCAGCAGGCTCTAATGACCATGCATGTGGTTAAACATTAGGAAGTGGGTCTCTGGAGATCCTGGGGAGACCGGCCCCCCACACTCCAGCTGCACACCTGCTCTGGGTTCTCTTTGTAAAAACCAAGGAGATGGTGGTTGCCCCCTTCGTCCCAACCCCCAGCCCTAGGCAACCACTAATTTACTTTCTGACTCTGTAGATTTGACTATTCTGGATATTTCATACAAATAGAATCACATATATGGTTGTTAGTGTCTGGTTTCTTTCACTTAGCATGTTTTCTAGGTTCATGCAGGTTGTAACATGTGTCAGAATTTCCTTCCTTTTTATTTCTAAATAATATTCCATTGTTTGAATACACCCCATATTGGGTTTCTCTTAGTCTGTTTTGTGCTGCTATCATAGAATACCACAGTCTGGGTAATTTATGAAGAGCAGAAATTTACATCTTACAGTTCTGGAGCTGGGAAGTCCAAGGCCAAGGCACCAGCATCTGGTGTCTGGTAAGGGCCTTCTTGCTGCATGCTCTGGAGGGGAGGAACGCTGTGGCAGAAGGTGGAAGGGCAACAAATTAAGCCCCTTTATAAGTGCACCTCATCTCATTCATGAAGGAGGATCCCCCGTGACCTCATTACCTCTTAAGGCTCCACCTCTTAATGTCATCATGTTGGTGGCACCTGAACTTTGGAGGGGATACATTCAAAGCATAGCAGGGTTGTTTCAGCTTTTTAGCTATTATGTATAATGCTGCTATGAACATCAGTGCACAAGTTTCGTGTGAACACAGGTTTTCAATTCCCTTGGTTATACACCTAAGGGTAGAATTGCTGGGTCATATGGCACCTCTATGTTTAACTTTTTGAGGAACTGCCAGACTGTTTTCCAATGTGACTGGACCATTTTACATTCCCATCAGCCTTGTGTGAGGGCTCTAACTTTTCCACGTCCTCGCCAGCACCTGTTACTGTCTGTCTTTTTGGCGAAAGCCTTCCTAGTGGGTGTGAAATGTGTGGTTTTGATTTGCATTTCCCTGATGGTTACTATTGAGCATCTTTCCAGGTGATCATTGGACATTTGTGTGTCTTCTCTGGGGAAATTCCTATTCAGATCTTTTGTCCTTATTTTAATTGGATTATTTGTCTTTTTCTTATTGAGTTATAAGAGTTCTTCACATATTCTAGATAAGATAGTCCCTTATCAGATACATGATTTGCCAATACTTTCTCCCATTCTGTGGGCTGTCTTTTCACTTTTTTGATGGCATCCTTTCAAGCCCAGCAGTTTTTAATTTTGATGAGGTCTGACATAGCTATTCTTTCTTCTGTTGTTTGTGTTTTTGGTGTTAAGACTACTTTTTGCAGCTCCTTGGGTGTCTCTGCACCTTGTCTCTGCACAAGTCATGTTTGGCCCACTAGGCTATTCCCTACCCTGTTTCTGCCCCTCGGGCTCAGAGCTTTATTTCCTCCTCTGGCCTCAATGAGAGCCCCACTGGGGCACCTGGTCAAAACCACCTCGATCTTGTGGTTGAGTCCAGTCGGAGACTTTTGTCTGTAGTGCCTCAGAGCACGGTTCTGACATCAGACTCCCTGGATGTGACTCCGAGCTTCCCTGCACAGGCTAAGCGATCTTGCCTGGATAATCTTGATAAGGCTCAGTTTCTTCATGTTTAAAATGGTGTGAAAATTATGGAAAATAATTTACATCAAAGTGCTTAGTCCAGTGCCCAGTGCATTAAAATAATAAATGGTTGCTGCTCCTATAGTGCTGATAGTTTCTGATTGTTTCTTCCCTTTCCAGTAAAGCCTGATTTCTACAGCTCTGGGACTTCCGTTCCTCCCTCTCTTCTGTCTTTGGTCAGTAAACACCAGCTCCACTCCGCACCCACTGAGTTATCGTGACATCCTGCTTCATCCCGTTCTCTCGCCCTAGTGTGGCGGAGCCTCTTCTCTCCCTTACGGATGGTCCCCTCGCCTCACTGAGTCCCGCCAGCTGTTCATGAAGGCTCTATCCTCCAACTGTCCGCTGTGTCTGGCATATCCGTCCAGCGGTCACACCTGACCCAGGTGTGGTCCCCCTCCTTTCCGAGGCCCAGGTACATTTTCAATGTGTCCATTTAAGGCTTTCACCATTCAACCTGCCCCCAGCCCCAGTGCTTCTCTTTCTACTTTATCCTTCCCTTCCTTTCTCCTGCCTGTCTTCTAAATACTTCAGGTTCGTGCCCACCTCAGGGCCTCTCCCTAGAGGTTCCCTTGGCCTACAGCGTTCCTCCCCCAGGGATCTGCTTGGCCAACTGCCTCATTTCTATCAGGTCTTTGCTCAGATCTCACCTTTGCAACAAAGCCTACCCCGACTGCCTAATTTCATACTATAACTTGCCTACCCATCGCAGTGGGCATGCCTCATTGCCCTTATCTGCTTTAGGTTTTCTTTTTTCCATAGCAACTACCATCATCTATCTTTCTGCATAATTTGCTTCTTCATTATTTACTATTTAGATATTTTTAAAAAGTCTAGTAGGATATAAGCTCCACATGGGCATGTACCTTCGCCACTTTATTCTCTGACATATCCCAAGTACCTAAAGCAATGCCTAGTAAGTAGCTCCTTGGGAAGTATCTGCTGAAATGGTTGAGTGGGGGTGATTTGCATTTCTCTGATTGCTAATGGGGATGGATATTTTTATATGATCACTCTTCTGTTCATTCTTTTGTCCATTTGCCCAAACTTTCTTTTACTGATTTGTAGGAACTCTTTACATTTTCACGACACTGATCTTTTGTGCACAGAAAATCCAGTGGTGACGACTGAGACAAGAAGACATGAACATTCCACAATGTCTTCACGCTATTATCAGTGCGCATTCGAGTTTGGAAGGGAACAAGAGCAGTGCCTTTTTAAAAGTTATTTAATTAAATAACTATGAGGGAAAGCAACCTCCAACTCACCCTGGCAAGCAGTCCCCGCAGATGGCATCACTGGTGACTGAGCAGTTTGCCTTCTGAAAGCGGTTCACCAGTGCACAGTCCAGACATGGCTTGCATTTCTGGAAGCCCCAGTCCTCCTTGAACCTGTGCGGCCGGCATGTCACACACTGTGCATCCTCCCCGTAGCCGAAGCCACATTCCTGTAGGGATTAACAGGCAATAGAAAGCTATTCAGTCTTTGAAAGCGTGAAAAAGGAAAGACCGCTGGGACAGAACGAAGACCTGGCCTAATAATCACCAAGTGTCGGCCTTCCTAGGTACAAAGGCAGCTCTGTCAGCAAGTTCAAATGTGTCTTCCACTGCTAATAATCTCTCTTACTATGGTAAGTATACTTAGTCATCCACTTTATTCAAGACGCCATGAGCACAGGAACAATAAAGGGTTTCTCAGACTCCCACTGTTGCATTATTGTTAGCTTATGGCAGAATTATGGCCCTTTCTTCTTTTCTAATTAAGCCAGTCATGTGAATGTTCAGAAGCTGAAGCCAGTGAAACACTCAGACACTTACTCACTTATCAAGGCGGAAAATAAGCTCTTTGAAATCAAGGGTGATATTGAGAAATTTCATAAGCTTACAGGCCTAGAAATCTATCTGATTGAGAGCTACTTGAAATGTTCAGAAATTTAATATTTTCCTAAAGTAGAAAGACTCTTAAATATTTGTTAAAAGAATGCTAAATTCTTGTTCAGAGAACACTCTATGCTTCTCTGTATTGAGACATCAGAACACAGTACTGTTTTCTAAGGATGGGCAAAATAAATGGCTCCTTGAACCAAATAGAGAGCTCCTTGAAATGTTCAGAAATTTAATATTTTCCTAAAGTAGAAAGACTCTTATATATTTGTTAAAAGAATGCTAAATTCTTGTTCAGAGAACACTCTATGCTTCTCTGTACTGAGACATCAGAACACAGTACTGTTTTCTAAGGATGGGCAAAATAAATGGCTCCTTGAACCACACACAATCCTTTCCACAAATTCAAGAACTAAATAAATGATAGCACATCCTACAACTACGATGCCACCAGAAAAAGAATGTTGGAGAACGTGTTCATGATAGTTCAAAAAACATGTTATAATACAGAATTAGCAGGAGAATCCCATTTCTCACAAAAACATTAGTAATGAGTGCTAACATTTACTAGGTGCTTACGCTACACCAAGAACTTTATATACATTCTGAATAATCTACACTCCTTCCCAACAAGCGAGGCACTGTCGCTGTTCTCACATCCCAGGCGCGGGATGGAGCTTCAGAGAAGTTAAGTACCTTAAGCCAGGTGACAGAGAGAGTGTTAGAACCAGCACTGGAACCTACACAGTGTAATCCCAGAGCCAGAGCCAAGAACTTTATATACATTCTGAATAATCTACACTCCTTCCCAACAAGCGAGGCACTGTCGCTGTTCTCACATCCCAGGCGCGGGATGGAGCTTCGGAGAAGTTAAGTACCTTAAGCGAGGTGACAGAGAGAGTGTTAGAACCAGCACTGGAACCTACACAGTGTAATCCCAGAGCCAGACTTCACAAGCACTACACTGCAGGCCGCGCGCTGCATAATGACGTTTCGGTCAAAAACACACACTACATACTATGTATATATGCATAGTATCTACACCATAGACTGTGGTGGTCGGAGCCCCGGGCTATACCATTAGCCTAGGTGTGCAGCAGCTCTACCATCTAGGCCTGGGTAAGTGCACTCTGTGATGTTCACACACACAAAATCACCTAACAACGTGTTTCTCAGAACGTGTCCCCATCATTAAGTGACATGTGACTGTGTGCACACATCACATGTACACAGAAAGACATCTGAAAGATTACATACTCGAATGTTAACCCTGGTTATCTGTACTTTGTGGTGGTTTCTATAGAACACCAGTCACTGAAAACAGACAGACAGTAGGTTGCGAGCAGCAAGCAGGGCCCCTGTGCAGAGGGGAGCTGAGCACGCCCGCAGCCACGACCAGACACGGGGACCGGGGGCTCTGACGGAGCCTCTCAGATCCTTAGTTTCTTCCTGGTAAACAGTGGATGCTAGAATGCAAGGCCTGGCTAGTCCAAAACTCCCATTTTTCTATAAAATTTATATATTTTAATTTCTGCAACCATACTTGTATACAAAGTCAACGAAGCAGCACTTATTGGCCAAAAATTAAATTAAAACTAACAGAAAGGATAGTACAGCTGAGTAATCACTTCAATCTAGATGTTTTACTAATTAACTCATTTGCATTTTGGATAAGTGATACCTCCTTTCCTGCTCGCAGTTACTCTGCCTGTCTTTCAAACGCACATCTTGAACATGCAAAACAAAGAATAGGGGAGAAAAAAGTGGAAGGTCAGCCCCTCCTTAATCCTGAGCGCCCCAGCTACACAATGTTCTAACCCAGAGGCACAGACAAGAGAGACAAAAAAACATTCTGTTTGAAGAACTAATTCACAAATTAGAGTTTCTTTAAAATTGTTAACAGGGATTATCTCTTTTTGGGGAGAGGGGGTAGTTAGTAGAATTATGAGGTGTTTTCAGATAAGTCTGTAATAAATTAATTCTTGGAAAAAGCATCCATGACTCGTGTAATCAGGAAAACAATAAGGATACATATTCAAAAAGAATTTCTCTGGACATGTGCTAGGTCTTTGCGAGGAGGTCATTGTTACTGCTCCGGTGCTTTGTTCATGGGCACTGTGGCTCTGTGCTGGGACAGACGTGCGTTTTTGCTGAGCACTTTAGTTGCTGAGAGAGCTGTGTGCATGCAAAGGCTTTCTGTAAGTACAGAAGAGAGCCTCCCACTCGGTCTCCCAGGATCAAAGCGCGGTGCACGTGACATTCTGGGGGTGGGCACTGCATTGTTCACATGCTCAGCATCTCCATGTCAAAGGCTCACGCAAGAGCAGAGTGTTTCGATATCACGCTTTGATCCAGGCAGCTCAGATTTTAAGAGTCTCATGTACAAGTTAAAACACAACAAAGAAGGAAGGGAAAGAGGAAGAGACGTGAAGGAAGGGAAGACAAAGGGAAAGAGAAGGAGAACACAGAGAAAGAGGTGCATTAACCAGGAGCAAATGTCTGGATTTTTTTTCAAGCAAGGCCGATATAGGAGAAAAAGTATGTACTTTCCTGCACTGGATCCAAAGACACGAGTTTGCAGGGCAACTCTGCCACTTGTGAGCTAAGTTATTTTGGGAGCTCTCTGATCCTCAGTCTCTCCATCTGTGAGGTGAGGATAATAACGCCTGCCCTACCAGGCTGTTTTGAGGAATATATGGGAAAACACATAAAGCCTCTAAACTCTAAATCAAGCACAGAGTGGGAATTCGTTAAATAAATTGCACCTATAGCTATTATTATTCTGGATTTTCTACAACTTGATAAATCAACTTTCCTGATTCGAGTATAATAAAGCTTCATTGGGGAACAAGAAAATATTCAGACCCCAATTTTTCCTAGGTTACTTGAAACACACCACTTTCCATCATAAACATTTTTATTGAATAAAATCTTCCTAAAATGAATTGCAAATTTTTTACATTAAAAACACTTTTAATGGTATACAAAGTATGATTTAACTCTCCCTCTTGAGTCGACTGCTGCATTGTGTTGCAATACAAAGGACGGGGGCGCCCAGTGTCTGTGCAGGCAGCTGTGCTGTTTTAAGATCCCTGCCAGGCAGTCCGCTATCTCTCCGTGCTCCCACTGAGTCACACTGTCTCCAGCAATTCACTTCCCACCATTGAGAAGCTAGATAAATGATCCAACTGGAAATTAACTCAAGTATAAATAGGCATTTTCGTGGTCTCACCTCTTTTTGAAAAAGAACATATAATTTGTAAAGGTTCTTGGTGCTTATTTTTGATTCCTGACTGTATTTTAGAGTTTGTAACATACATAACGACATGTTGACCAGTGTGTTTTTGCCATATGTCATTCTATGTTACTTGTCATTACACTTTGTAGAACGAGCATTTCATATTTTTTTTGTTCATGTCATACTGGACCAAATCACATAGAGAAAGAAAACAAAGTCAGGCTCCAAATGCCTCATATTTCGCCTTCATTAACTGGATATCCACTTACTATTTCTGTTTAGAGTTTATATGTTTTGGTGGCAGCAACAGGACTTTTCATTGGGGTGGGTTTAAGCGACGGGGTTGAGATAAAGCTTTCCATCCAGCACTACTGACAAAATAATAAAACCTATTGAGCACATACCATACACTCTCCTGGGAACTTTTATAGAGATTGCGTATGTGGGGAAATTTTATTTAAACTACACTTTTTCTAACGTATTTGCCTGTTTCAAAAAGATAATACTAGAAAACCAGCCTAATACTACTTTTAAGCTTTTAAAAATAGCTTGCAGTTCATGACAGTCTAGCAAACTAATAAAGTGGCCATTCTACACATTGAATTAACTAGAAACCTTGAATTAACTAGAAATTCAGAGAAGTTGTTTCCAAGGAATGAAATTATGGTACAGTGTCCATGGCAGCAACCACTTTTTGAGTTGATTGTCATATTTCTAAAGCACTATAAACACAAAGACTCTGTAATTATTTGTAATCCAGGCTATAAAGTAAACAGCATATAAATATTAATTACCCCCAATATAAATGTCTGCTTTGATGTTTTTATTTCACTCAGTAAAACCAGGTGGTTAAAATGCCTTAAAATCTTCCCCATGAAGTTCAATAAATAACTACACAGAGGAAAGAAGGAGGCAGCATAGCTGAAAGGGGAGCCCCACAGCCTTTGAGCCACCAAAACACCGGTCAACACAGACTCAAACTGTGCCTTTACAACCTGTGTCACCACCCTGGCTAGAGACCATTTATTTCCCTTTTCCTTTTTATCCTTTATATGTTGAAAAACTGCACACATAGGATTTTTTTTTTTAATCAAGCAATACACCTTTCTTCCTGTCCCTAGTCCCTAACTCCTGCTCCCTCTGCATAGGCAAACACTGGTTATCAGGTTTGGGGATAATTTGCCAGAAATATCCTCTGTGTGTGTGTGTGTGTGTGTGTGTGTGTGTGTGTGTGTGAGGGGATAATTTGCCAGAAATATCCTCTGTGTGTGTGTGTGTGTGTGTGTGCACGCGCGTGTGTTTAATACACTGTTCTGCAACTAGTTT